ACCACGCGACAAAAGATGGATTTCATCGGCTCCGCCTCGCTGGCTTTGCCATCGTCGCTGGCTCCGCGCCAAGATCGCCACGCCCAAATATGGCAGTAGATGCAGCATGTGGGGACCTTGGAGCAGAAGGTCGACACATTTGCTCGCCGTAGTCACGTCGCGCACAGTCTACAGAGATGGTTACAAGGACGACGTCGCACAATGCCTCGCTCCAGGCAAGAAGGGTCGTCGACGCACACATGGTGATGACACGGACCAAGACCGATGGCTGCAGTTCAAGGCACACATCATTTTCGCGCACGTCGCCGTAGGTATCATCTTCATCTATTAGCTGTGTGAGTGTATCTATGCCTTCTTGGCCTTGGCGGCGTCGTCGGGCTTGGTCTCGGACGGCTTGTTGTTCTCGAGCTGCTTGGTCGTCGTCGTCGTATCCTGCTTGGCCATTTCCATCTCGTTGGCGTGCGCGTACTCTTGGGTGAGCTCGCTGCCGAGGTGCGGCGCCCAGCGGAAGAAATTCAAGAACGAGTACGCATACGACTTGGCGACCATCTTGAACGAGCCGTACTTGGTCGTGGGCACGGGCGTCATGTCGAGGCAGACAACACCCGGGATCGACATCATATCGGAGAAGCCCATGCCAAAGACGACGGCACCGGGGCCCCACTCCTTGACGTACGACGCCAGCTAGCCCCAAAGGTATCAGTATTTAAGCCTTTGGAAAGAGAGAAATAGCACCTGCTTGGCGATGAGTCGCTTGTTGACAATGTGGGCGCCATAGTAGTTCTTGGCGTCGATCCAGCGCACGGGCACGCCGTTGATGACGACCGGGTCCAAGAGCAAAATGTCGGGCGAGATCACGGGCCGGCCGTAAATCTTCTCTTGCTCGACCCAGAGATCGTCCTGCGTCCTAATTGAGGGTGAGCAACAAGTTCATCGATGCTTGGAGAAGCGTACTTGACGCGGATGCCTTGCGACTTGAAGAAATGCGTCAACGTCGTCTCGAGCGAGTCGGCGCTGTACGCCGGTTGGCCCAAGAACGGGTCGCTGCGGTGGATGCTGTCGTAGTGCGTCGCCTTGTTGAGCTCTTGCTGGTCGCGGTACCGCAAGCTCGCCGGCGTCGCCAGCGCTTTCTAATGTTGAGAGTCCATAAATATCAACTTGATACCTGAAACGCGAGGGACGTACCCGGATGGCCTTGGGCGAGAACCCGCGGGCTTCGAGAATGATGCGGAGGAGCGACACGGGCGGGTAGTTGTGCGAGTTGCTCAAGTCGATGAGACTCTTGCCCGCGTCGTACTCGGCGAGGATCTTGTGCTTGTTGCGCTTCACGCGGTGCGTGTTGACGAGCAGCGACATGCGCAGCAGCTGCTTGCGCAAGTTGAGCGTCACGTTGGTCGTGATGGGCAGCATGCGCAAGTACGACTCGACGCGCGTCACTTGGTGGTACTTGAGTCGGCGGAACGTCTCTTGTTTGAGGAGCAGACCCGCGGCCTACCGTAGTCGTTCAATACGCTGTGTGGCTTCTCAAGGACAGAGTGTCGACCTGCGTCTCGAGCAGCTGCGGGATTGGCTGCACGTCCCAATGCAGCTTGTGCACACGCAGGTCCCCAAACCTACAATCGGGCATGAGATCTGTCATCGTGTGTCTAGTATAAAAGTACTTGTCCGTGGCCGCGTCACGGAGGCGCTTGGACACACCAGTCTCACGGCGCTCGCCGCGAATCGCTTGGTGGATCGACTCGTACACGACCGACATGGCAAAGCACGGGTCGAGGCCGACAGCGCGGACGCCTTCCATGACGGTCAGCGCCGGGTCCTTGCGCCCGACCTCGAGCGACGTGAGCGACGGAATGCGCGGCTCAATGCCTACAAGACACCATACACTAGAACAAAGATGGCGCCAGCATCCACATACCGGCGAGTCGCATCTCCGTGAGGAGTGCGAGGAAAATGTCGGCGCGCCACACCATGGCCGCGCGCGAGAGCCAGTGTAGGTACGTCTCGGGCGGCACAAACTTGAGCGTGCGCAGCGCCTGCAAGACCTGCAGCGCGCCGTCTTCAAAGTGCGCCGTGTGGCAGATGGCCAGGATGCGCTCATAGTCTGACGTCGTGACTTCGAAATCTTCGTGCAAGAGCAGGTTGAGAACGCCGATGGCGTCAATGGCTGCGCCGTTGCGCTCGGCGGTCGTCAGGACCAAAAGGAGCGTCTCGCGGTCGATGGCGCGGCCGTTGTGCACCATGTCGCGCGCGATCGCGACGGCCTGCGCCGAGTCGCCGACCTCGCAGCACTTGGCGATGCCCGGTACGAGAAACGACGCGTCGATCGTCGGGTTGCCGTGCTTGCGGTACAAATCAAAGAGCTTGAAGAACGAGTCTTCGTGGTCGTCGCTCGTCTGCTTGAGCATGGCCGTGATGTGCACAGGCGCCGGCAGCGACTTTTGTAGCGCGGCAATGTTTTCGAGGAGGCTAATCGTCTTGGTCGCTTCTTCGACCAACGGCGAGATCTTCTTGACGGCCTTGTTGTTGCTGTTATGGTGGTGATGCTGCGGCGCGGGCTTGTCGGCCTTGGTGGCCATCGTGTCGACCACTGCCACGTCCGAGCCTACATTCGCATGCGTTTGCATCGCGTGAAGGGCGCTGCGTACCTTCGATGAGCGTGGCCTCGGCAATGCCATCGGTCGACGTCGCCGAAGGCTTCTTGCCCTTGCGCTTCTTCTTGCGGTGGCCATGCACAGGGACGGCAGTCGAGAGTGCGCGCAGAGGCAGAGCGTGCAGCGGCTGGTAGCCCAGGGCGCGGGCCGTCGTGGCCTTCGCGAGCGCGGTCACAGACACGCGAAGCATCAGGATCAAGTGCAAACAAAGATGCCCGTCTCGTCCAATCGAGTCGAATGCACCCTTTCCAGCGACAAGTACCCTCTTTTGGATGTTGAAGACCCCTTTTTGACGCAAACGCGAGCTATAAATTGACAAGATGCTCGGGGTTTGCTCGGCGGAACATTGTGTGCCAAAAAAGGGTATTGTCGCTGCAAAGAAAGGCCGGACATGGTGGTTGCCCTCAACGGCATCTCGACCCCTGCTCAGCGCTCTTTCGCGAGGAGACCATTAGGATGCGGCGGCGCTGGAGAAGAGCTATTTTCTTTGAGCGGCTCTAGACGCAGCATCGAAAGAGTTCCCGACGCTCGTCGAGCGCTGCGCCTTTGACGCAGCGCACCGCGTCTTGGCACTCCAGCACCCGATGACCACGGTCGACATCGTTGCCTTTGGCGAGCCGTTCAATGTCTTGGAGCGGACGCGTCAGTTCAACTTGGTCCTCTTGGCCCCAGCGCGCCGTATGCTGTGTTTCACTTGTTTCGTGGCGACAACCACGGCTGCTTTGTCGTTGGGGACGATGGCGCCGCCCACTCGTACTACCTTCGCACGCAACAGCAATCGTCGTACCCGCCTCTGCAACGCCCGAGACTAAGGTCGTCAAGCTCCAAAACGGCGCGTTCATGGTGTGCATCGAGCCACTGGACAACGAGAACGACGAACGGGTGCGAGTCGTCATCGCCTTCGCCTTCGCACGTTCGAGATCCAGAGCCATGCAGTGCTACTTTGGTGGCCGAGGTCGTGTTGCCCATGGCGCTCGACTGGCCGGCCGTCCAAGCCCGCGCGTCCGACGACGCCATCGTGCTCCTTGACCAGAGCTCAGGTGCCATGGTTGTCCTCACGATGACAGTCGTGGTCGGCAACGTCGGGTTCGAAGTGAGCTGCGCGCACACAACGGCACCTGTGGCAGCCAGTGAAAGCCACGTGCTCGCGCCACTTTTCACGTCTTTGAAAAGGCCGGGCGGCCATGCTTGACTTCGACGACGCGGACGAAGACGACGAGACTGCGGCCCAGGAACGCGACGGCGTTGCCTCGTTGCCGATGGCGCTGCAGCTGCACGTGCAAGCGTCGTCGTCCAAGCGCCGCAAGACGGTCTCGAAAGTCGTCGAGTCGATCACGAAGAAACTCCAGACGCTCAACAAGGACCTCGCATCGCTCTCGCTGGCCACCGACTTTGTTGTGAACGGAGACGTGGCCAGCGATGGCGCCAGGGCGTTGGGTCCGCGAGCTCGTTGGATGTGTGTCCCGTCTGTCGCGCGCGCGACGACAAGCTCGAGCTGCTGCGCAAAGGCAAAGTGGTGACGCTGAGTCAGCGCGCTGAGGTCATCAGATGCTGTCGCAGATCCTTTTCGGGCCCACGAGCTACATTAGCGTGGCGCGGCCCATTGTCGCGATGACAATCCATGGGGAAGCAGTCGACAGGCACATCGTACTTTCTCAACCACCTCTTGGGCAGCTCGTTTGCCATCTCGGGCGTGCTGCATGGACGCCGTCTGGCTCACGCTGCGTTCGTACGGAGATGTGCTTATGGTCGTCCTCGACTTTGAGGGCCTCGGGTCATTTGAGCGTAGTATGCAAGAAGACACGCTTCTCTCGGCCCTCAACGTGGCGATTTCGCAGCGCACGATTGACGCGATGTTTACCAAGGCGTCTCGATGCTCAAGGGCGACCCCCGACTCTTTAGCGGCCAGCTCAACATGAACGCCAAGGACATCAACCCCAACGAGGCCGAGTCGGTCATCGACGAGTTCAAAACCAAGCTCAAGAGCCCCTTACGGACGCCACGGCCGACAACTTTGTCACTGTCATGTACTAGTACGGCGTAGACGTTCTCGTCACAGACTGCGCGCCGCTCAACAACGTCGGCTACTACGACGGTCTTGCTCAAGCCTCAACGTGCTTGGCCGAAGCGCGCGGCAGAGAGACGTTCTCCAGCGGCGCCGACTTTCACAAATCCTTGCCTTCGTTCTCGCCAAGATCGCTCGGTGCGATTGGACGTCGATGGACGACAACATCTTGGCGGGCAAGACGGTGTGGCTGCGCGACCAGCTTCGCTACGCGCTGCGCAACGGCGAGCTTGATGCAGCCAGCACCACACGTGTCAAGGCGTGTGCTCGGTCCGCGGCAATTGCGAGCTCAAGGTCCAGCAGGAGACGACGACCGAAACGTTTGTCGGCGCCAAGAGCTCATTCACGTATCTGCACCAAGCCAACAACGAGCTACGGAAGAAGTGTCACACGTTCAAGTCGAAAAAAACAATCACAAGGGCGAGGTCTATCGCTACGATACCAACGTGCACACGTGCGACGCGCGCTACCCGTGCTCTGACTACTACTGCACAAAAGCGTACGGCCACGCGGGTGCGCACGCGACGACGCATGGCCAACACGACCTTCGTCATGGACGTCACCCAAGTGAAGCTCGAGACAGACCGCAAGTATGCGCCAGGCGACCGCGGAGTCGCCAATATGTGTCCGTTCTTTTGTGCCCAAGCTCGGCCGAGGCCACGTCCACTACGTTCCGTACTCGCACACGTCGCCCGATGCTTGCACGTATGCGGCCAAGGACGGTAGCCGGCACAGCACGATGACGCTCGCCTCCAACTCGACGCAGGCCATGGACGAAGTGCTCCACAATACGTATGGAAGACGCTGGGGTGGGACGATCCGGTCTCGAGCGCGAGCGCAAGGAGCTTGGCTTGTGCCCGTACGAGTGCCCGAGCACAAGGAAGGCAATGGCTGCAAATCGCACTGTGTCTTGGGCGCATGGCACGAACCGCAAGTGAAGACCTTGAAGTCGACGCAATCGCTTGCGCAAAGCCACGTCTTCAACTGCCAGCACTTAGCCGCAAAGGGACTGCACCACCACGTCTTTGTTTTGGGCGCGTCCGGGTCCATGGCCGGGGAGCCGTGGGAGGCGCTCACGACGGCCACGTTGCGCAGCTTCGCGCGACGCGAAGCCACAGCTGCGCCGACATTGTCTCGGTCGTCACGTTCGATGATACCGCCCGCATCGCGCACGAAAGCAAGCCGCTGGTTGACATGACCGATATCTCCCTGCCGTTCTCTGGCCGCACAACCAACTACGACGACGGACTGCGCGTCGCCAACGACGTGCTCTCGCGCAACGACCACAAGACGTACACGCCCGTCCTGCTCTTCTTTTAAGACTGCGAGCCGAACGGTAATGCGGCCGGCACTGCGATGGCCCAGCACATGGCCAAGACGTACGGCATCTACAAGCTCCAGAGCTCGTGTGTCGGCTTTGGGAACAGCAGATTCGTGAAGATTCTCGCACCGCACCTTGGCGGCACGTTCACGACGGTGCCGTCGGGCTCCGACTTGCTCACGACATTCAAGAAGATCTCGGTCGCCGACCAGGACTCGTGGCCACGACGACGACGCGACCGACAACGGCAGCGTAGCCAAGGAGCAAAATGCTATGTTTTTCATGTACTCAATTGCAGTATGAGATTGCGTCTCTGTGCACAGATGCCACCGACGCCACTTGACTACAGCTATCGACCACGTACCTTGGCGACATCCTGCATCGTGACGACGTTGGCATGAGATGAGCTCAAGAGCTCCACTTTAACCAGCCCCGCGAGGATAAAACGTATTAAACCACCACGTCAAACCAAGCCGCGCGGATTGGCTCCTAAAATCAACATTTTATCCAATCGAATGTTTTACCTTTTACCTCGCATTATCCGGAACGGTGCGAAAGACCCGATGCCAAGCGCGTCCTCCAAAACTGCTCGTGTCGTGTGTAACACCACGTCCATGTGGGCTCGAGCCCGCTGACGAGAATCAGAGCATCGTCTCCTTTGGATGCGCTTCCCTTGACCCCAAGCACTGCATGGGACGTGGGTCGGGGCGTGGGGTTATGAGCTCGAATGCGGAACGCAAGGGAAAAGGTGATAGCCACAGCACGTGTTTACGACAGCAGGTGGCAATTCGCGTGCGTGCGAGCCCAAGCCGCAGTGCTTGCTGTGCCCGCTTGCCCGCCACGGCCGAGAAATCAGCTCCTGGCGCGATCATTGAAGTGTGCGGCCAGCCACAACACTCGGTGCATGGAACAAATGAAATCTTTCTGACAATGCATGCGATCAATGATGGTACGATCGCGTCGGGTTGTCTCGGCGCGGGAAAGAGGCCGATTACGTTAGCGCTACTAGCCCATGGACACATACAGCAAAGTCGCAACCACCGAGATGATGCACATGGCCGGGAACATGCTCGACTTGTGCTTGCCCGTCTTGTACTCGGCGCAGCGGTCGGCTTCGTCGACACCTACAAAAACCTTATGAAACAACAACCCAACCGTCTGGACTCGGGTACCGCGGAGGGCGCTCTCAATATGCATGCCGCAGCCCGACCTAAGGAGCAACGTGGTACGTGGCCGGGAGAGCAGGCGAGATGTACCAGGTCGGCTTCTGGCACACGCCACACGTCGTTCGGCTGCACATCGCGTCTCTTATCACTGAATCTCCACGCAGCTATAAGATGGCGTGTACGGTGATGTACGTCCATCTCGCCGTACACTGAATGTACAGCTGGATTACATTATGCGATCGTACATTGCAAAAGGAATGTACTGCAACGTGGCGCCTGGCGTTCGACGCGATGCCATTGGCTGATCTTGGAAGCGGCAGAGTGCACGTGGTTGCAAGCCTCATACTTGCTTTGTCCTCGACGTCCGCAGCACGATGAACCCGACCCGTAGGCGCAGTTGGAGGCGATGGACGCTCACGCTAGTCTTCCTGTAGCTTCGGAACTCAAGAGCCTCTCGGAGGCCTGCACCAAGCTCTGGACCCTCGACGACAACCGTCTTGTGCCCAGCGACGACTATGAGATCAACCTCCAGCAGGGCAAGTCGCCGTACCAGCAAGGCGACATGGCGCCCGACAACCTCTTCAAGTTTGTGGACCCCAAGGCGCTCCAGAAGAAGACGTTCAAGCTCTTTATTGACCTCCTCGACAACTACGAGCGCGACGTACGACCAAACTGCTACGTGCATGGGCTCATGGAATGCTGTGCGTAGACGGGCGTCGCCGAGACCGTGACCCGCCAAGAGCTGCGCGAGAACGAGCTCTTCATCAACGCGATCTGCGAGACACGCGTCATGAAATACGCGCTTGCGTACGACGATACAGCGCGCGTATCATCATCAGGCACTGATATGTGATGACGTAGGTGGCTCCAGGGCAACCGCAAGTTTAGCGGCAACATGGACGCGTTCAAGCGCAAGCTCCACGAGATGTGGTTCGGGCTCTACCGCCGTGAAGTCGCCAATGACTCGTCCGGTTTTGAGCACGTCTTCATCGGCGAGGTCAAAGACCATCAAGTCACGGGTTTCCACAACTGGATCCAAATGTACCTTGAAGAGAAGGCCGGCCGCCTCGACTACCTCGGGTACATCAAGCCCAAGCAGCGCGGTCGCTCGGTCATGGAGCCGCACGAGTACGAGCAGCTCATCACGCTCCAGTTCGCCTGGGAAAAGGAGGTCAAGCCTGTCTCGACGAGGTATTCCATGCAGCTCGACAAGCGCATCTCACAATCTTGTGTAGTTTGATTGGCGTGAGCCCCGAGTTTGAGATGGCGCTCTACACAATGTGCTTCCTCAACGGCACGGAGCTCAACGAAGTCGACCTCGGCCCGTATAAGGTCATTGTCAAGTGCTTCTCGATCGGTCGTGGCGAGCAGTACGTCGTCTTCTCGCCTGTCTGAAAGCTGCAGGAATCTTATCGAGTGTGTAGCGCTAAGATTGGCTCGTCGTTCCCGGAAGCCTGCCCGTTGACGGAGGAGCAGGCCGCGTCCAAGATCCAGGCCATCATCCGCGGCAAGGCGACGCGTGCCAAGGTCCCGCTGACGCCCGCGCCGCAGAACGGCACGTGGAAGCCGTCGGCCCCCTCTGGTGCGCCCGCATGGGGTGCGCGTCCGGCCAGCAACCAAGCGTCCAACGACGTCCCGGCGGCGACTGGTGCGTGGGGTCAGCCCGCCGCGCAGGCGGCGCCGCAGCCGGCAGCCACGGGCGCGTGGGGTCAGCCTGCCGCTCGGCCCGCCGGCAACGCTTGGGGCACGCAGTCGCTCAACGACGCGCTGCCCAAGACGCAGCCGCGCCCTTAAGTCCACAGTCTTAGTTCAAAACGCACGTGTAAGATTTTGTTTGCATCATCATTTTGTGTTTTGCGATCTTGAAACGGCACCAGCATGTACGCCCTTCTAGCGCTGGCCGCGCTCGTCCACGTCTGCGCGGGCGCGATAACTGGCATTAGCGTGGATCTGCACAGCACCAGCGCCGGCACTGTCACACTGGCTGACGTGGCACTCACAACGTCAATGGCGATCCCGATCGGCGGAAAGCTCCAAGTAGCATTTCCAACCGGCTTTGTCCTTGCGCCGACCGCGCTCTCGGACGGCGTTGGCATCGACGGTGCGAGCGCCGTCTCAAAAGCTGGCACGACGCTCATCGTGACCGTCGCGACGTCGGTTGTTGCGGCTGGCGTCGTCACCTTTACCGTCGATGGCATCACCAACCCTGGTACCCCGCGCATGCTATTTCTCACTTATACATGACGTAGGTGCCTCGACGCTCGCCGCCTTTACGATTACCAGCTTGAACGCAGTGTCGGTGGTGCTCGAGTCTGGCAGCGGCGGCGGTGGCGCCGTCATAGCAGTCGGCGCCCCGCTCGTTGCCACGGTGACGCTGGCCAACACGACCGCGAGTGTCACATCCCTTTGCACGCTTTCGATCACAACGTTCCTGACGCTTCCGATCGGCGCCAGCTTCCGCGTAGTGTTTCCGTCACGCTTTGCGGTCGCACCCACACAGCTGACGTTCCAGACAGGATTTGCGGCCACGACAACCGCGCTCACTTCGACGTCGTCGTCGGTTCGATATAGCCTCTCCATGTCTTTTCAGCTATATCGTAAACTAGGCAACCGTCACGATTGGCGCCTTTGCGTTGGCGCCAGGAACGTACGGCTTTACGCTTAATGGCATCACCAACCCGGGTTCGTCCTGCAACATGTACTACATGGAGGCTTGCTTGGTGACGTGGGAGCCGTACACGGTCTCGACACTCGATGCGGCGCAGAACGTCTATGAGACTGCGTCGGTGCCTGGTACATCGATCATCAAGTCGCACTTGTATTTTGGCCGCGTCCGGACGCTCGCAACGACGCCGTCGACGGCGACGTCGGCCACGATTCTTTTCAATACGCTGCTGCGGATCCCAAGTGGTGGCATGGTCCTCGTAACCTTTCCGGATGGGTACGCGATTCCGAATCCTGGCTGGACGCTTTCGGGGTGGATTGGCCTCAGCGCGGCGAGCGCGGCGTCCATTACGGGCTTGACGCTGACGATCACGAGTGCGACAACCATCGCCCCGATGCGCGGCATCCAATTTACGCTCTCGGGCGTCACGACGCCCCCGCTCAACACGGTGGGCACGTACCAAATCGCGACCCAAGACAGCAATGGCAACGTCATTGAAGATGCAGACAACATCGGCGGTGTCGGCTGCTACTTCCTCAAGGAATGTAGCGGACATGGCGACTGCACGCTCATGAGCTCCAAGTGCATTTGCAACGCGGGGTGGGGGGCCCCGACAGATATCTCGATCGGCGCGGCCCCCGACTGCTCGCGACGTACTTTCTCATCGTGCACCGTTTCGGTGGTGTTGACAGGTATCGCGTAGGAACGTGTCCGTCGGGGCTCGCTTGGAACGACGTCCCGACGGCGCCAACCGTTGCTCACACAACGCTCGTCGAATGCAGCAACCAAGGCGCGTGTAACCGCACCAGCGGCGCGTGCAACTGCTTTCCCGGCTACACGGGCAGCGCCTGCGACCGCAGTACGTACAAAATACAAAATGTGTAGCGAATGATTCGAGTACTAGTGTCGTGTCCCAACGACTGCTCGGGGCATGGCACCTGCTTGAGTTTGCAAGAAATGGCGATGCTGACGACAGCCGTGCCAGTCGCGAGTGCCACAACGTACTCGGTACGAATCCCATGATGTCCATCAAGTCCAGCGGCTCGCGTAGCTGTGGGATGCGACGCGCATCTACGGCTGCGTCTGCGACTCGTCGTGGCCCGTCGGGCTTGGCGCTGGTCAAACACGCGTGGCCGAGTGGTTTGGAGCCGACTGTTCGATGCGTACGGCAACGTACGAGCCATTTATCAATTGAAATGGCCTTGACTAGGTCACTGCCCGAGTGGCGATGATCCTATGACGGCAGAGGACGAAACCAACTGCGGCGGTGTCGCGGCACCTGGAGGGGCGGTTGGGGCCGTGGGCAACCTCTGCTACAACGAGTGCTCGGGGCGAGGCGTGTGCTACTACCAATCAGGCCAATGTCGGTGCTTTGACGGCTTTGAAGGGCTTGCGTGCAACGCCCAAAATGTCCTCGTCGACGATAGCAACCGCAGCGAGCTTGCCATCGCGCTCGCTGGCTACTGATAAATCTATGATAATGTGTATTCGAGAAGGTGCAGTGCATGGAACTTATTGGCCGACGCAAATCCCGCATCGCTGGCTCGAACGGCGATCGAAAAGACAATGTGTGTGCTCGTCATCATGGTTTTGAATTCATTGTCCGATAGCGGTATCTCGCATCATCGCGCTGCTGGCGTCGACGCATTCAGATAGGAGGTGGACTACCCTGCGCACGCTAGCGATTACAACATGGACGAGGTTCTTGCGCGTCTACACGTCAGCGTCCAGTGACTTGGCAGGGAGCTGCATGAGCATGCCATTGCTCGGTGGTTGAAGTCAAATCCTGTGATCGGATTGGCTGGTTGACGTTGCTTATGAGACATGGTTTACCTTTATAAAAGAATAACCTTTGTAAAAAGGTATGTGCATGAACCAAGTGATGCAGTACATTCAGCTCAGAGCCTTTCATTATTTATACCCCTGTATATTGCCACGTTTCCCACACCATATCTCACATTTCACGCATACTACACTAAAACGTGTCCTCCAGCACCTTCTGGCCCACGACACGACGGAAGCCACAAGCAGCTCCATCGACGCCGAGCTACCGCCCGCACCCAAGCGCCAGCAAAGCACGCTACAGTAGGAACAGTCTCAGAAAAACATTCATGTATGCAACAAGTGTCGAGTAAAGCAAAGAGCCCCGCCATACTTAAGTTCAAAATCCATTTCAACATCTCATTTTTTACTTACCAAGTCGCATCTGTAACTTCATTAGGCCGCGCGTTTCCGAATCTTACTACTCAGCTGCGCTGCGGTGGGTCGCAGTACCGGGTCCGTCTGGAGACACTGCAGTGCGATCTCGTGCACCCACGACGGCACGCCCACGGCCGCAAATGTCGGCTGCAGCAAGCCTTGCGCCACCTGCGTCATCACGTACTGCTGTGTCACGGGTCGACCGTGCACCGGGTGCAACACGTCTGCGTACGGCACCTTGTGCGTCGAGAATTCCGAGAGAAGGACCCCAAACGAGTAAATGTCGGCTGCCACCGAGTAGTCCGTGCCGCAAATGACCTCGGGCGCCATCCACTGGTACGTCCCGACGCCGTTCGTGAGCTGCTTGTCGTCGTCGTGGACGTGGACGCTGCGCGAGATGCCAAAGTCGGTGAGTTTGGTTCCCTTGGTCGAGTCCAGCAGCACGTTGCGGCTCTTCAAGTCGCGGTGCACGATCGGCACGTCGCAAGTGTGGAGGTACGTGAGACCCTTGGCGATACTGAGCATGCACGTGTGCTTTTGGTCCCACGTAAACTCGTCCGGCGAGTGACGACTGAGGTAGCTACGGAGGTCGCCGAGGTCCATGTACTCGACGACGCACTCCATCTCGACAGGTCGGCGCCAGCTCGCACCGACGAGCGAGACAATGAACGGACAGTCCATTCTACTCGCAAGATATGAGCACGTAGAATACATACTACATGGAATGACGTACTCGGCCATGAGGATGATTTCATCAATGAACTGCTGGACGGCGTCTGGATGGCGGTACAGCAGGCGCTTGATCGCGACGGGCTCGGAGGCGTACGTGCCCAGCCAGACTTCACCGTAGGCACCGGATGCGAGAGGCTTGGCGCTTGTGACGCGGAGCTCGGAGAGCTCGAGGCGGTGCTGGCGCAGGCGGGAGACGTCGAGAAGGCCGTCGGAATCGTCGACAGTCGGCATCGTACCGGTACGACCCGCGGAGCTGCTGTAGTAGCCGGATGGGGTATCGACAGCTCTGCGCTTGCGATAGCGGTGAAGAATCCAGCCAAGTATGATCAAAAGGAAAGCAGTGGCGCCAGCAACGGCAGCAACCACGGTCCAAGTTTCTAGGAAAATGCTGACTTGTCGTCGTTGAGGGCAGGTAGAGACATACTGGTACGCTCGGATGACGGCGGGCTCGTGACACACACGCGCACGGTTACGTTGGTCTTGCCGGCCCAAAGCGTCTGGACGGATCCATCGATGGCGCCACAAGCGCTAGGGTCCATGGACACGTCGCGTGTGATGTGGAAGCCCTTGGAGTCGAGGTAGTTGGATTTCCCATTCCACGGCTGAAGCTCGTCGAGGGCTGCAAATGTATCGGGGGTCATCGTGAAATTTGTCAGTGGGCAATCTTTGCAGCCGCTAGAACGTTGTTAGAATGCGTCGCCTCTTCAGTGAAGGGAGTACAAGAACTTGAGGCTCTTTGAAAGATGGACACCCGCAATAGTCGCGATGGGGTTATTATTCAGGCGCCTACAATACCGGTCATTGTGAGTGGTATGTGTTGGTACAAATCGATGCAAACGCACACGTGAGTGAGTTGGTTCCAGTTCCGGTCAACGACTTCTTCGAGAAGGTTCAAGTCCAGATCCCTAATGACACTTGGGTTAGGCGAACGACCACCTCAAAACCACTCGTACAAGTAAGTGAGATTAGCAGGGAGGTAAAAAAGGTCCGAGAGCGCGTTGGCTTGAAAGGCACTAGGTTTTGTGAAAATGAGTTGCCCCAAGAGTCAACTTTAGGTACTTACAGCGTATGCAGCGTCATGGGCAGTGCTTTGGGGATCGTTTGGAATGCGTTGTTGACGAGGATCCTGTACTGCTGTGTAAGCGTCATACGAGAATATCAATTTTACGTACAGCTCTTGCAGGCCCGGCGGCCATTGAAAGTTGAGCGGAATCACCCCCAAGTTGCACGTAATAAAGGCCCTAAATAGCATCAAGATGGAGTGTCCATCATCGAAACATTCGGAAACATTGCATGAGGCTCTTACATGGCGGTAAGGTGGGCGATTGTCGCCGGCGCGAATTCGTCCAAATAAATGGCAGAAATGTTGGAAAAGCCCCTGTTTGCACGTTACCGGTAGCTTGATTCGAAGCAAATGCTTGGAGATACGTACAGCTTTAGAAGTGAAGCGGGCAACACTAAATCTTCGACCCACACGGTGGACGCATTGTAGAGTACCCTATGTAAACGAGCATGAGTTACGGCGCGGACTTCAAAAGCACGTCGTACAGCCCCTGGTAAGGATACATGGTCAGATTACCGAGACCAATAAAGCCCGCAAGATTGGTAGCGTCTTGAGGCACTTGCTGGGTCGATCGAGTGCAAGACGTGTTGACGCTACAAATGGGCGCGGACGGCGAACACAATTCATCCGCAACGAGAATGTTGCCAGCCGTGTAGTTGTGATACGGGCAGACCGCACCAAGCACGGCGACGGGGAGAAAGAGCGCCAGAAACCACTGCATGGCCAAATCGCAAGTGTCAAAAAGTACCGGTACATTTATTCGTCCCAACGTGATGATTCCGTGCGCCAGCCGCTTGCATTTGCGATCGCAATGTCACCAAACAAGTCATACGTGTACAACATTCACGTCTCAATTTACGATGCGAAAAGGCCACCGACTACTTCAACTGGAGTACACAGGAACGCTCTGTTGCCTTGACAAAACCTCCTACACCCCGCGTAGAAGGGGCTAAACAAATGAGGCCCCCCCAGCAAGTATTCGTGTGTCCTCGTGATTAATGAGGGAAGTATCAGTGCTAGAACTGATTGCCTGTTGATCGATAACGTTAGCTCGATATCTTTGCGTTTTGTGTGTTCCATTTTATCCGTATCCGGATAATAAAGAAAGACGCAACATGTGCATCTCGACCGACGTCGCGTTGTCATGCCAGGCGGGTCGATGCGGCAGGCGCTCCACGATGCCCTCCAACAAGCCGACGAAGTGGAGAAGCAGCACAAGAAGCGCCACCGCGAGGCTCAGCGCCGGTACCGAGACCGTGCTGAGCGTGAAGTGCACGTGCTCCAAGCTACAATCCGCGCTCTGGACACCCAACGCCAGACGCTCGTGCTGTCGCAGCCTGGGCACGCACTCGCCAAACTGCAGTGGCGCGACGTTGCGCGCGCCCTGAAAGACGACGTCTATGAGCAGCAGGGGAACCAGCACAAGCTGCGCTTCCAGATAAAGGCCAAGCGAACCCTCGCGCGCGCACTCGTGGTGTGGGTCACGCAGCTGGCGTCGCCGCACAAAGTACGTCGATTGAAGTCGTTTTTCTTTTTCACGCAACGAGCACCAAACTAGAACTTGCCAGCGCCAGCCCAAGCGCCGTGGCACCTCTCAGCGCTCGTGGCCTCGGGTCAAGCACGGCGCGTCGGCGGTGCTTGGATCATTCAGCATCTCCAGCATCAGCTTCCCCAATGGATTGCGAAGAGCAATTTTCCTCGCATCCTCGACCCGCTTGCAGCCATCCGAGCCTTGCCGTACGTCGCCGTGACAGTGTCGCCATTTGGCCCGTCGGTACAATTCTCGATTCGCAAGCAGCGCGTGGCGCCCTACAGCTCGGATCTCATCTACGCGGCGTACGAGACGCTTCAGCCGCCCAAAGGCGGTCGTGTACGTTTGCATCAAGAACACGTTGTCAATTGCTTATCGACGCCGTGATGTAGGTGCTCGAGGTCGTGGATGCCAATACACGATACATTCAGTACCCCAAGGCGAACGACGAGATGATTGAGCACCACATGGTACACATGCGCACCACCTTTGACGGGTTTGTCATTTTGATCCAAGGCATTGTCGACGATGTGTCATTTCCGCTGCTGCCGCGAACGCGCTACTGGACAAGCTGGTACGCCTTGCGCTTTGGCGCCAACCCACGTAAACGACTGCATCTAGGACGGTTGGATGTCGCGTCGGCCCGCACTTGACGCTGCTTCAAGATGGGTATGATTTTACGGGTGAAATGCTTCGTGGTACCTTCGTGCCCCTCGAGTCTGTCAGCTCCGTCTTTTCTCTGCTGAGCGAAAGCGGAGTTGACCCGCTCTTGGGTATCGACACGTACGAGCGACGAAGCCAAGTCTTCTTTGAAGCGTGCAACGACGACGACGTGGTGCGCGTCGACTCGTTGGCGGCGAGCATTCAAGCTAGTCGCAACGAATAACTCCAGCAGTGTAGCATTCTATCATTCGTTAGCTCTTGTAGAGTTCATCAATAGCTCGCTGTCTCATAAAGGGTCAAAACTCTAAATGCGAGTGTACGTAGTAGCTCAATCTCTCGCTGGTGAACTCCACGATCCCGACATGCATCCTTGGGATTGGTGCAAATACAACGCATTTCTACCAATTCAAAAATAGTTGCATCGACCAATCAAGTGCAGCTTTCATCAAGCATTACAGCCAATTGGAAGCCGTACGGATCGTTTCGCGGCCCAGAGCGTGTTTGGTCGGAAGCGAGAGATGGGCGAACGCGGTCTCAGCATCAAGACCGACGGGACCAAGCACGCGTGGGAGTCGGGCGGCGCCGATGAGTTCCCGCAGCTCTGCGAAGGATGCCTCGGCGAAGACCCGTACGTGCGCATGATGAAGGAGCCCTTTGGGCGGCAGTGCAAGACGTGCGACCGCCCGTTCACGGTCTTCCGCTGGAAGCCGGGCAAGAAGGCGCGCTACAAGAAGACCGAGATCTGCCAGACCTGCGCCAAGATCAAGAACGTGTGCCAGACGTGCGTCTTGGACCTGCAGTACCATCTGCCCGTGCAGGTCCGCGATGCCTTCCTTTCCGAGCAGGAGCGCCAGAACGTGCCCATGAGCGACGCCAACCGCGAGTACCACGCGCAGCAGCACAACCTCATGCTCGAAGACGAAGGCCTTGTCTCCGCGTACGGCAAGTCGTCCGCGCCCAACCAGGCGCTTCTCCGCATGGCCCGCGTCGAGCCGTACTACAAGCGCAACCGCCCGCACCTCTGCTCGTTCTTTGCGCGCGGTGAGTGCAAGCGCGGCGAGACGTGCCCGTACCTGCATGAGATGCCGCCGCCCAAGGGCAGCGCACTTGCAAAGCAGAACATCAAGGATCGGTTCCACGGCAAGAACGACCCCGTCGCCGAGAAGATGCTTGCAGCCGAGGGCAAGGCGCTGCAAATCAACCGCCGCCGCCGTGGGATCCCACCGCCGCCGCCTCCGCCGCCTGTCGTCGAAGCAGAGCCAACGAGCGTCCCGCCGCCGCCCGCGTCGACGTAGTATCGCAGCGACGATCCATTCATAACTAATAAGCACTTGTTTCGATTGTTAATTTCGACTTGGCCGCTCTGTTCACTGAGTCGACCGCCACCGAGACGTCATGTGCTTGCGAGGTTCCGGCATGAAACAAAGCTTGGTTATGGCAGCAGCAGTCTACAAGAACCAAAACGACCGTTGAGACTCATCGGTGCGATCCGCGTGTGAAGTACAGATTGTCGGATGAGCGAGCGACACATCAGCGTCTAAGATGGCGTAGAAGCGACACATAGGCAGTGGTTGCCTTCGAAGAGACTCGTCCAACTGAGGCAATGCGCCGTTGCAGTTGTTGATGGTGCGGGGGCTGTCAGGGGGCTGCCGTCGTCGAAGATACATGACTCAATCACGAGGACGCGCAGGCACGGCAAGCGAAGGTTACCAAATGTGGCCAGTGCCACCAAAGGCGTGTAGAGCCGAAGGGTTCGTTTGGTGCATCCTCCAATGCTCCCGGGGTGGACGTACGGGACTTGGAGCGCCCACGTGACAGCTTTGCTCTGGAGTTTGTCCATCTGGACCGCATTCGCATTGGGCTTTACAGGGCTTGACGGCAGCTTTGCGCTCCCGGCGTGCAGACGCATCGTCGTGCTTCGCTCCAAAGCCGGCGCGACCATTCTCGTCGGCGCAATTTCAGCCCGTTTCGCACCGTTTTATGCTTAAAAAGGCGCCACGAAATCAAACAGCAAGTCAAGACGAGAGATCTTTCCCGGTAAAGAGCATCTCGACGATGCTACATGGCCGAGTATATTGGATGAGCTTCGATTCGGTAGAGGTGGTCAATGGCACTGAAATACAACGGAATGCTATTATAATGATCCATCCCCTGCGTGTTGCCATCACATCTTGGACGACCTATTTCGTCTACCTCAGCTTACTATGCTGGAGCTATTTTGGCGTGGCTTGGCTCACCACAACCATCGTGCTGCCGCCACCCTCGCATTCAGAGCATTGCCATTCTCGCACCATCCGTGTGACACGCCGCGTCCGACGTCATCGGACGTCGCACACCTGGCGTCCTGTGTCTGGTTCTGTGTACAGTATTGTCCCGGAAGCGTCGTCCGGCCGGATACTGCGTCCGAATACGTCTCTTGGAATTCGCGCCAAATCTAATCGCTTGCATTCAAAGGTCACTCTCCAATTTCAACCACAGCTTCAACAACAACGACCAGAATGACCAGCAAGCGTGCAGGTGCCATCTTTGTCAACCACGGCGCGGGTCCGTTGCCACTGCTCCGGCCTGTCTCGGACCCGGACCACGGATCGACGCGCCGCTTCATGGAGGTCGACACGCCAAAGCTCTTGGGGCTCGAGGATGCGGCGACGCGGCCCCGCGCTATCGTCGTCGTCTCGGCGCACTGGCAAGACGACCGCATCCAGATCTCGTCTGGCGCGTCCCACGACCTTCTCTACGACTACTACAAGTACGCTTTGGTTGATTTCCGGTCGTCTGGTGTGACTCACTAGGATTTGCGTGTAGCTTCCCGGACGAAGCGTACAAGGTCACGTACAAGGCCCCGGGGTCGCCTGAGATTGCGCAAAAGATCCACGCACTCCTAGCGCAGGCCAGTATTCCATCCAACTTGGACCCGACGCGAGGCTGGGACCACGGCACGTTTGTGCCGATGAAGCTCATTCGCCCGCAAGAAGACATCCCGATCGTCCAAGTGAGCGTCGTCGCGGGCTGGGATCCCGTGTTGCACTTCAAGATCGGCCAAGTGCTCTCGGTGCTTCGGAACGAGAACATTGCGATCATCGGCTCGGGCATGTCGTTCCACCCCAACTGGGGTACGCCCGTGACGCCCGAGACGGAAGACCATGCGCGCGCCTTTGTCCGCGAACTCACGTCTGTGGTGCTGCAGCCATCGATTGTAGCTCGCGGCGACGCCTTGGCCAAGTGGGAGGCGCTGCCCTTTGCGCGCGAGTGCCACCAGAAAGACGAGCACCTGATTCCGGTACGGCACTTGCATCTTGGTTGTCGTTAGTTATTTTGTGGACTGATACGACGGCGCTTCTAGCTTATGGTCGTCGCGGGCGCGGGCGGTGAAGGGTCGGCACAGGCGTTTGACGTGCACAAGGGCATGTACGAGGCGTTTGTGTGGACGACGTGAAGAAGTAATCTTCTTGAATGTCAACCTTGTATAACTTTGAAACGTTCGATTTCGTGGCAAGTTTGGGAGAAAACTAGCAAATCCACTTCTCTTTTGATGGGCTGATGAAAGCATTCGCCACGAGGGGTCCTTTGTCCTTTGGTCACGAGGCGGAGCTGAAAAAAGTTTGGGTGAATCCGAAAACTTTTGGCCAAATCCAAGTGGATGACAGTTAGGTTGCAATGCAGACCGAATGCTTGCACCGTCTTTTTGTTGTCTGGAAGCCGATTAGTATCGCAAAGCAAACGCGGGGCAGAGGTGCCTGATGAGTAACGATCAGGTCGTGTGACTACGTACGGGTATACTAGTAGACTAGTACTACCGGACTAGTAATATGGAACAGAGTAGTACTATGCATTTTGACACGAGAATTGGCTGTGATTTTTTTCATGACCAGCACACCTTTTGCAACTTGCAACTGACGTGATCTCGTACTGCACAGAGCATTAGTGTACTCGTAGCCTGCGAAGCTTCGTGCCAGATGCACTCCAATTACATGTACCTCCGACTAAGGACTTTCAACTGCAGTTTTGTGGACACTGGGTTGGAATGCATCGGACACACATGCTGCGTTGCCCGTTACGTTAGCAACATCGTTGTGGCATGCCACGGTGGAAAATGGTATTTCCACTGATCCATGTGGCCCATTTCCATCCTTTCACACCATGCTGTGACACCGTCTTGGACACTTGCGCGTGTGTCCAACCTTGAAGTCGTAATTGGAGGCGAAAAAGGAACGACGGGACTGTTGTTGAAGTGGACAACGACGGGACTGTGCACCGAGTGTATCGATCGTATCCAAGAACGGGCAACTCGGGCGAGACTCGGCTACCGTCGCACCAGTACACTAATCGTAATTGGTGTTGACAGTGACACCTGACTGACCACACTTGTACTTCTAAAGTGAAATGTAGATGATGTATTGGAATGAAGTGAAGGCACCGCCAGATACGAGAACAGTAAACACACTGACAGTCAGTGCTTCAACTGGTTGTAAGGATTCCGTACGATCGTACCGGTAACGCTAGCGGCGTTTTTCTCTAATAACTAGCCGTTGAAACAATGCCGCTGACCGTCGATAAGTGACGTTTGAGTTTACATGTCACCTTCGCCAATCCTCCGGAGTCTTCAGCCGCATCATCAAACCCTCATTTGTATTTGCACGAGCAAAAGACACCCAAAGGCCAGATCGCACTAACTACACGTAAACCAGGGTGCGACAGCGTAGGATCGGTTTTTCCGGCTAATTTCTGTCAGCCTTGCAGTGCCCAGTGCCTTTCTTGTTTTCAAACGGCGGCTCCAGCTATCATTCACGTGCAAACAAGCTCGGCCCATCGCCCTACGTCAAACGCCGAGCTATATTTGGTAAAGTGTGTTGTTGAGGATTGATGCCCATGCGTCTCGTCTAGCCGCCGCACAGCACGACATTAAACACTTAAACTCTGTGACGACGGCAGGCTACTGTACAATTGCGATGGAATAAACCATGCGATGCCCGAAACTAGCGGCCGTGCACGTGTGACGTCGCGGGGTGGTAAATTTACAACTATCTGACGCCTCGGCGGCCTCGCAACGCATTCCCAGACTTGAATTTGGCTTGTCGACCGCAATGCGCCTGCTACTGCTTTTGCCTCTGGCCCTCGTCCACACGACGCACGCGCTCGATCAGAACGACCCCACACTGCCAACCAAATCAGGCGTCAAGACGTGGGTCGATGTCGATACGCCGGCGGAGCACCACACGTTGACGAGCTCGCGTGGCGAGGCCTGGGACTTGATCATGAGCGACGAGTTTAACTTGGCTGGACGCAACTTCACCGCCGGTAACGACCATCTATGGGTTGCATTGGACATTCCCGACGGCGTCAACCGTGCCGTGGGCATCTACTCGCCCGAGAACGCGCTTACGACCGACGGCGCGTTCCAGATCCGCATTGACTCGACCGAGACGAACGTTACGTTCTTCAACGTTTGGACCGAGAAACCGTCGTGGACAACCAAGACCATGGTATTGTCGACATAAATTGTCTACTCGTTGCATGAAACAATCGAGTAGTACTACCGCGCGGCGATGGTGCAAACCTGGAACAAGTTTTGCATCCAAGGCGGGTTTGTCGAGATTGCGGCGCGGATGCCGGGCGCGATCGACAAAAAGTCCATGAACCCGCACATCACAGGCAAGCGCTGGGAAGCCAGCATCAGCCGCGACGTGCCCGTGCAGCCGATGGACCGCATTCCCGACGGGCGTTTCTACCCGACGTGGCCGGGGCTCTGGATGATGGGCAACCTCGGGCGCGCGCTCTTCGCAGCCTCGACCAACCGCATGTGGCCGTGGACGTACAACGAGTGCGACGACCGATACAAGTCGTCTCAGCGCATCTCAGCATGTAACCCCAACCCTGGGTACGGCTTGCACCCGCACATGGGACGCGGGTCGCCCGAGATCGACATCCTCGAAGGCGGTGGCACCGACATCTCGTCGTCGCTCCAGATTGCACCGGGCATGCCCGACGAGTACCGTCTCTTCCCGGCCCTCATGAAGTATGAGTCAGAGAAGAACGTTGATGCCAAAGGTACGCTCGACATATTCTGCGCTGCTACGTCACTCCAAGAACTCAATGGCCGTCGGTAGGTCGGCACGGCGTCAACCACACGTCGTGCTATTACAACAAGAA